AATGTAGTCATTCGAACTTGCAAATGAAGCCCGGGATTAAAATATCCCAGGCTTTATTTGCATGTTCCCGGGCGCCGCCATTTTTAAATGCCCGGTAGTTCAGACTCCCTTTCCGTGGCTACACGCAGCATGGGCTAGGTAGTTCGAACTAAAGTCCCTAATTCGGACTACCGTTACTCCTCATTGCAGGAGGAGTAAAGGTAGTTCGAATTAGGAGCGTTAATTCAAACTAGCTAGTCCGTGCCATGTGTAGCCGCGGACAGGTAGTCTGAACTACGGGGCATTTAAAACTGGTGGCGCCCGGGAACATGCAAATAAAACCCAGGATATTTAAATCCCAGGCTTCATTTGCAAGTTCGAATGCCTACATTAGCCACCCTAGTTCGAACTAGGGTGGCCTTGTAGACATACCCTTACTGAATAGTCTGTTATCACATTAGTGCCTAGAAATTTAGGTCAGGATTGAATCTAGGTTGGTAGGCACTTTACAAACACATGATGATATGATACCTGCCTCCTAAAAATCTTGCAGTCCGAAAGGCATAATCTAGATCTTTGGATCAGTCTTTGTGAGATCAGAAGTAAGTGAGGGCTTGGTCCTGTAAACACATGTTTTAATGTGCTTGCTTTCAAATACATAACTACTCCTATTGATTTCAGTGAGACTACTCTCATGTTTTTAAGTATGGCACATGCTCAAATATTTGCAGGTTTGGAGCCTTCATTAATCAGCTGCAGCTCCATCATCTTCCTTGATAATGAGCAGGGCTTGACAAGCAGTGGCGAGCCCCACTCACCAGCCACGCAGTTTGGCACGCTGCGCATGCACAGACCATGCTGCGCATGCGCTGATCATGCTGCAGCACCGTGCCGGCTTAAAATTTACTCTCCCCGGGCGAGTAGATTGACTAATTTGTCGAGCCCTGATAATGAGGACATGTTCTGTGTCCAAAGGGTGTAATTTTAAGACAAACACACTATACTCTTCATATATAAAAAAAGCTGAATCCCTGCATCAAGTGCAAACTTTAACTGTACACACAGGTTACATGTTCTGGCTTTAACTCACTGTTAACTGTGGAACTTTGGGTACGTCTACACTGCATCCGTAGTTCGGACTAGGGATGCAAATGGAGATGACCGAAGTAGTTAATGAAGCGGGGATTTAAATATCCCGTGCTTCATTAACATGATCTCGCTGGCGCGCTAGTTCGAATCACAGCTGATTCGAACCAGGAAGTGCGCGCTGGGACGCATTAGTTCGGACTAAAGCCCTTAGTCCAAACTAACGTTACTCCTCAGTACTTCCTGGTTCGAATCAGCTGTGATTCGAACTAGCGCGCCAGCGAGATCATGTTAATGAAGCGCAGGATATTTAAATCCCCGCTTCATTAACTACTTCGGTTGTCTCCATTTGCATCCCTAGTCCGAACTAGGGATGCAGTGTAGATGTACCCTTTGAGTGATGTTTCCATAATACACAATGGAATTGACACTTTGAGAATAATATTGCCATTACACAGCCCATGAATAGAGCTCCCATTGACTCTGCTGGTTGAGGACGGGTAAATAGCCCTTACTGATAATAGCATCATTCTGTGAGCGGTAATGTACTCATTTATTTTTCTTTCTTGGAGATATGGTCCCATCAAAATTGATAGGATATCTGCACCATTAATTAAAATAGGTCTTTGCGGTTCCTGCTCCCTTTTACACAGAAATGTTTTAAAGAGAGTGACGGAGTTTTAGCATCTAGTTAGCAACCACACTCAGGTCAATCTTTAGAGAAGTCAGGGACTCTGAATCCCTTGTCTGTTTATCTCTGGATTTCATATTTTGTTAATATTTTGGTGAGAGAGGGATACTTATGGCTGACTTGACCATTATTAACACAAGATTTAGAGTTGCCTTGCATTTTTTCCAGCCACGGTTGCTAACAGCTATAGGAAGCTTTACAGAAGTTCCAGCTGTCTCACAATGAGAGCTGTTAGATCTCCTGCAGGAATTCCTTTTTGTGCACAGCAACAGTGCCTAGTCACAAATCTAGGAATAAAAAGTCATGTACATTTTCACAAAAGAATTTTCTGGGCATTCATCCCCCATCCTACCCACCTCTTTCCAACTCCAATTTAGGAAATTTTAAATTTTGAAACTGGAATCATTTTGACCAGCTCTAGATTGGGCCTAAGAGGTCCTAGGGGACTCTAAATTTTTAAAATTTGGTTTTGATGTCTCTATTTGGCAGTTATTAAAACTTACCATTGATTTTCTTCAAAATCCCTGCCAAGAGAAAGGTGAGTTGTAAATGCCCTTCACTAGGACATTTTCAGGAAGTTTAGAATCTGAATTTAATTGTTTTTGAAATTTTTTAGAAATTTTAGCAATCAGAAATATTTTAAAGTGAAAATGAATTTTGTTTATATGTAATCATTTCCTTTGAATTAAACATTGCAGCATTCTTATACTGCATGAGTAGATTCTCCAGGATCTTCTAGAGAAAAATAGGAAGTCACAGAATCTATTACTTCTGTGTGTCCAGCTACTGTATTTTCAGGATACATTCACAGACTCTGCCACACATCCAAACATTCTGTACTACTGTCAAGACAGTTTACTGGCTTTGTTGTTGCTTTGGCTAGACTGATTTTGCAGCAGATCTAAAATTTTAAAAAACAGCAGAATTACAGTTGCTATTAAAAACTTTCCTCAGAAGTCTAGAAATTTCTGAAATGAATCTCTCTTTCCTTTAATCTCTTTTATTGTTGTTCAGTAATGTATTGAAATATTATTTTGCTTCAAATCTTTGATACTCTTATTCCACAATAAGAATGTTTTTTTTCCAATTCAGCTAATACACTTTAGAAACAGATTAAGCTAAATCAGAAAAGGGCACTTTTATCATAACTATGTATATTATAAATTATAATAGCCGCCAAACAGGGAGCTATTGCAGAATAGCTGTTCTGGTTACTATCTCCCCCTGTTGACATACTCTCAAAAACTTAGACTGAAAAACTTTAAAGAGCTGGAATTTTATACATAATCCATAATAGCAGTAAGTGTTACAGATTTCCCCCCCAAAAAAACCCACTGAATTCAGATCTGCAATTCCTTGAAACATATGTCAATGCAGTATACTTTGAAGAAAATTCAAGACCTCTGTCCACAATCCTTTTTTGTCTTAATTAATAGGATAGAACAAGAAAAGGTACTTGTGAAGGCAAATAATAAAAGCAAAGTAATATTGATTTCCTCCTCCCTCCTATTATTATTGATCTATTTTAACCTAATTGGCACTTCCAAAAATAAATGGAAAAAACACTAGAATCTTAAGAGAGGTGCAGGTAACTCTTTGTGATTCAAGTATTTCCGCTCTGTACAGAGAGTCCTTACCCTGTTTGTTAATGACTGTCTCTCGCCTCCCTGACAACCTGCAGACCTGTGACCTTTTAACGAACTGCCTTTGCTTTTGTTCTCATTCTCTTTAATCTCAGGCCTCTAATTTTTCCCTGTGATTTAACTGAATAACAGTACTAAAAATGACTTAATGTATGGGTACAAGGAATGAGTCCATATATGATCCGAAAAAAAGAAAATTTTCAATAAGACAAGGATGCTTTTTAAAAAAAAAATGTACAGCTACTTTAGCAAAAAAGAAATAAAGTAACTTAACTGTACTGGAGTTGACAGGAAACAAAAGAAAATTATTTCTGCTGTTTTTCATTGAATGTGAAAGTTTAATGCGACTTACTTTTATTAAATGACAATAATATAAACATGTTAAAATGTAAATTCAGTGGATTATCTTATCCTACAGACACTTTGCAGGGGGTAAATTTACACATGCTCCATAACACCTGCATAATGTTCCCTGGCTTGGGAATTAATAATTAACTTTTAGTAATTTTAGTAGTAGTTTTACTTCAAACACGCCTATGAATAGTTTCACTGAAGTATTCCCATATCTTTCCATGAGAAATCAGTGGGAATATCTGCATTGATTTAAGGGAACTTTATCCCATGGTGTCCAACACACTAGCCACATGTGGCAATTTAGCCAGTTGAGTGTGGCTAGTTGGCTTGAACAATGTGGCTATTTGGCCGATTGAGTGTGGCTAGCTATAGCAGTAGCCAGTATAGTGGCTTCAGAACTGGTTGTACACCATGGCCCCAAGCATTTGCAAGATTAGATTAAGTTCCTGTCCTCACTGGTCCCAAGTTTTCTCTCATCCTGGTGTAAAATAGGTATAACTTTATTACTGTCGTCAAAGACGTTATACTGGTCTAAAACCAATGCAAGACTAATCAGAATAAGATCTATTGTATGTACAAACAAGACTCGGTAAAACAGGGATGGAGAAGATACACAATTTTCTATGCTAGTTAAAGTAATTGTTTAATAAATATAGGAAGCAGATGAGAAGTTAAACATTTTTATTCTGATTTTTAAAGTGTCCTTAATTCAGCCTCTTTTTTGGGAAACTGACGATGGCACAGTTCCTAGAAAACTGTTATTTAAATAGTCGAATGAAAATGATCCTTCTTTGTTTGTGAGTTCAGTATGATAGATGTTTATGTATCCTCCATTGGGCCCATAAATCAATGAGCCCGCAGTTATTTGCCATTATACATGTGTGGGCAAGTTTTTAAAATCTGAATATAAGTTCTGCCACCAAATAGGTGCATACGGACATACTGATTTTAGAGGGAGTGATGTGTGTTGTACATATTTGGGGGTAAAGTTTGGTCCTTTTTATTTGAGCCCTGAACTAGAAAATGTATGGTAAAAGCAAAAGAAAATGTGTATAGTAGTGCCACATTCCAATTTTAAAGGTGACTATTTAAAATACATGGCTTAACCTCTTTGTTCATATGAACTCTGCAGGTATTCTTTTAGAAGGCATGCTTC